TGCTCATTTGTAATTAACTGACGGAAGAGAAAAGGAAAAACACACACACTTGCATTTTAAGCCTGCGTTTTAAAAGAGCTAGAATTTTTCTGCTGACAAAATGGCTAAGTGGTTATTTCTTCTTTTTCTTTTCCCTTCCTTTGGTTAATTACAAATGAGCAGGAATTTCTGATGTGTGTGTGAGCTACTGGAAACGTTAGGCTGGCAGGCTGGCAGCCTTGACTATTTAGCCGGTCCACTTAGAACTCCATAAAGAGTTAACAAATGGCTCCTCCGAACTGGTGCCGACCGGTTGAATCCCACCATGACAGAGGCACCATTTCACTCAATTTAAGATTATAAACAGGATAATTTTACTAATATATAGATCTTCTTTCTGGATGTAGAAGCATGGCTATTAAAGAATTCTGTAGTTTTGTCAAAAGAGAAAGAAAATCCACTGTAATTATGGACAGTTATTCAATATAGGGATTGGTCATTACCTCTGGGTTTGCTGGAAGTCAGAAGCTTAATCTGAAAGGTAATGTAAGTATGTAAAGTAAGTCAGCTATTATTTACAAGGTCTAATAAGTATTTAGCTGATATGATTGGTACATAATAACATAAATCAATTTACAAAGTTACTACTCACATTTTGAAATAAAATGTGTTTCACCTGCTTCATACGTCTATTCTACCATCAAGAAGGGAGTGACATAGCAAGAGGAAGAACCTGGCTGGCACTTTACAATGGCCAGAAAAGGAGCAGTGAAAGAAAATTTTCTTTGATCTCTCCCAGATACAAGACTCAGTTACTACTTTGTAGACGAATTAAAAGAAAGCACATTTCGGCCTCTTTCCTTCAATCCAGGGATCAAAAAGCACGAAGCATTATTCAGGCAGGAACTCAATCAAGGGAGGATCAACATGACCGCAAATGGATATTAATATCACCTTAAAGTTCAACATTTTATTCTGCCATTGCCTAATAATTTATTTTTTATCCTCATCTCCCCTTTAAGCCTATATGCCTGAGTTCATGACCAATCATTTATTTCTAATATATCAAGTCATTTTAGAGGTGTAAAGTAAGTAAAGGAAAACTACATTCTGGTGTAAATCATATATATTGTAGGATGAAAGTTTCTCACCAGCCCAGCAATTAGATTATCTGGATTACAGAGCTGTGCAACAAATTGGATTGAAAAGCAAATTGTGATTTGGAGCATGTGTAGTATACAGATAGGATCTGCAGGTATTGCGTTAAAATGGCTATATCTTTTTCAAGATTCAAGTTGTTACCTCCACAACTAATGCATAATCCATTTTATTTAAGGTATTCTCAACACCACACATGTTCCAAATCACATTTTGCCCTTTAATTCTGCATCATACTTAGCTCAACTGATTATGTGTTTGGAATAAGGGGAACATTAAGACACACAGTTTCCATATAAAATATGAAATGGCGACATAGTCCAGAAATGCTGACTCATGGGAGTCTACTAAAAGTATAGTTTGACTCTCAGAATACAGGAGAATTTTGGTTTGAAAACAAACACAAGATCATCTCTATATTGAAGAATTTAGTCCTGACACCCTCCTCACCCAAAGGAAATCTCCAGCTGGGGATGGACTCTCCGTTACTCTAATGCTTCTGGGTGGGTTTTGATCTGGGTCATGTGGTAATGGGTGTGTGTGCGCGCGCGAGGGAGAGGGGGCCAGCATAAGCATCACAAATAGTATAAAGGTGGTGGGGAGCACAGGATCTTAGCTCTGACAATTTATTCATCACCTTAGTGCTTTGTTGGTCAGTTCGTGCCGGAGGAGATAAACTACGTTTCAAACCATACCTCTGTTTAGCTGTTATCCTTTCCCTTCGGAATCTGACAATATAAAGAACTTCTCAGAAGAATTGTATTCAGCTTACTGTTTTCTCCTGAGATTGGATAACACCAGCTTGTTCTCTGAGTTGTGTGATAAGGGAGGCAAATTGTTTCTTGTTGTATTCAGCCATTTTAGATTGGTCAGAAGACAAGGAAGCCCTCAGTTTTTCATTCTCATTCTTCAGCTGAGACAGAAAAATAACATGTGGGTGAAAGATTATTCCATCCAACTAAACACTTCATTAATAGAGGCAAATGGTTAAAAATGCAATTATGCAGACTGCAACTAAATGGATTTAGTTGTCTATGGTCTAATGTCTCTAGAATCTGATTTCACAATGAAGGCATGCAATCTCGATCGATCCACCCACCCACCCACTTACCTACCTATGGCAAAACGAAACCCATTTGAGTTGAATTATTCTGAATCTTATTGCTTAGTCATACTATAAAACAATAAAGCATTGCACTGAAATATAATTCAGATACAAGTGTGGAGGGAATGGGATTATATCTGTAGATTTTGCTGTCCTTCAAGAACATGCAATGTAATGTATGTGCACCATCGACAGTATATTTAAAATATCTACACATACGATATCAAACATAGATAGATGGCTGGAGACCCTTCAGATTTCCTTTGTCCACTAGAATCCTCTTTATACCATGGTGGAGGGTATACCATCAGTTAATCTCCTTGTCTATAAGGATGGTGAAGCTATTTTATTTCCTCTCCATGACAGTTCCTCCTGCCCCCTCTGCCCTAAATGAATAGACATGACTGGCATTAATTATAGAATACAATGTCCTCATTTTTCTACTAATATAAAAAACTGCAAAAACATTTGAGTGTACTCACTTTTTCTTTTTCTTTCTCATTCTCCTTCTGAAGTTTCCTAAGTTTCCACTCCCACTCGGTTTTCTGATAAATAGTGGAAAAAGTACTCAGCCTCATTGACAATTATCTTGCCAATTATCTATCACAAGTTATTAGACTCTTAGCAAAAATGTCAGTCTTCACATTTTCTGATGCACCGGATTCAGAGTGCCAACTAATGATTTGGGAAATTGCATTTAGTCCTACAATGCCTTGTTTCACTGAGGAATCTGTAAACCCATTTAGTACACACCAGTATTTCCCAATCTGATGCTCTCCTGATATTCCCAGATACATAATTTGGGAATTTAGGATATAGTTAGGAACGCTTGAAGTCATGGTCAATGTACCTGGAGAACGTGGCACGACAAAACCGTGAAGCCCTTATCCGCGGAGACATAAGCGCGCCGCTAAAGCCGCGATGTCATCATCGTGCATCATCACCGCCGTGACAACAGCGCGGAAACAGAAGGGCGCTTTAAAACGGCGCCGCGGCAGAAAGCCGATTTCAATTAAGG